CTTTGACAAGCACTGTGGCATTTGGACAAGAACAAACTGGGAGGAGGGTAGAGAGAATAGTGCAACAATGAATGAGTGGAAGCCCCAAATCTCTGTAAATGTTTATGAAAATTAATAAAATATAATTATAGAAAAAAAAAAGAAAATAATTTTGGAAGGCAATGCCATTACCTAAAGTCAAAGATGAGGGTATGTTAAAGCTCACCAAATGCATTACTAAATATATGCATTAAACCAACTTGCATATCCATACAAACAGGAACTAAAATAGCTCACTACCTTTATTTCTTTTTTTTTTTTCACTACCTTTATTTTTAACAATAAAAACCCTGAAAGCAACCTGAAAGCCAACTAAAGAAAAAATCAATTCTGTATATTCATACTATGGAATAAGACACACCAGTGAAAAGAAATGAAAACTTTCAACACAGATGAATAGCAAATAAGAAAAATAATGTTTGAAAAAGTAACAATGTGTACCAAAATACACATACAAGAATACATATAGCAGTATTACTTAGAATAGTAAAAACTACAAAACAACTCTCATGTTTATTAATACCATCTGTCTCAGCTGGTGGGTCTCTCGTCATGCAATAACGACGTAACTGGATTTCTCTGACCTTTCAGGATAGTTTTCTTCACCTCCCCAGAATTCCAAATGGAAGTATCTAGTGCTAAGTCATCAAATATTTTTCTTTACCTACATCCATTCAGAGAGTTCACTCAGTTGCACAGCTTTAAAAGCAATGTACAGGTTTACAATCCCAAGTTTATGTATCTCCAGCCCAGATCCCTCCCTGAACTGCACAGCTGGATATCTAAAAGGCACCTCCTACTATTTAAAGTGATTCCCTCATTTCCACTCTACATCTCTTCCACCTGCAGTTACTTTCAACTCAGTTAAACATAACTCCATTCTTACAGAGGTTTAAGTCACAAAACTTTTCGACTCCTTGCTCATACAACTCTTATTTATTTCCTCAGGGAGCTCTGGTGGCCTAGTGGCAAGAACCTGCACTACAATCGCGAAGGCACGCGGTTCAAGGCCACCACCAGCTGCTCCGCGGGAGAAGGATGGGCAATCTCTTGTGTGATTAACTGCCTCTGAAAACCAGCCAGAGGGTCTGCTATGGGTTATTTCCAACTTGACAGTAACCAACAACAAACAAGTAAATCCTATTGCCTTTACCTCAGAAACAGGACGTATCCAGAATACGACCAGAATTCTCATCTCTCCATCACTATATTCTGGGTAAACCACCATTATTTGTAATAATCTCATTCCTGGTCCTGGGATTGTTGCTTAGACGTGTGTTCTTCACTACCCTGCCTTCAACATTCTGTCATCAGCCAGAGTGATCTTAGAAAAAAGGAAACTAGTTCTCCCCATTTGTTTGCTCTAAGTGCCAAGAACAACTTACCCAAGAGTAAATGGCAAGCCCTCATGAAAGCGTTGCCTCATCTAGCTCCCATTGCTTTTCCTGTCTCCTTTCTTACTGCACTCCTCACTCACAAGGCTCAACTCCAGCCTCCATGATGCTCCGTAAGCAACTTAGACTCTCACCTCCCTTGTATCTTCCCAAAGGATTATTTTAATATCCAATTCCTAATTTATTTTCTCACATGCTATGTAATTTACTTGCTGATCTCTCTCTCACACACAAAACAAAAACCAACAACCCCAAAACACCAAAAAAAACCCCTTATGAAAGGCAGAAATATTTGCTTCTTTTTAAAAAAAAAATATTATTTTTTGTGCATGTACCATCAAATCGGATCTGACTGGTACAAGAGAAGATTGCCTTTCCTTCTCCAGCAAAGCATCAGGTGGATTTGAATCGCGTTCCTTTGGGATTGCAGTGCAGCTTCTTGCCACCAGGCCACCAGAGCTCCCTTATTTTGCTTCTTTTAATAGCTAATTCACACTCCACAGTGACTCAGTGTCTAAAGAATGCTTGGCACATAGCAGGTACTCATTAAATATTTACTGTATTAGTGAATGGTGACATTTAGTGTGCATGGCCCAATAATTTGCTTATACTATGATTATTTCTGAAAAGATAATGTGATTGATAGGAATATAATATAATGATAAAGAATCCACATATATCCATCTCTTATTTTCTGCTAGTTCCCAACAGGTACAAAACAGTATATACATACTTGCTAACACTTCTTGGTCGGAGGCACTCCCCTCTACATCAGATGGCTCAGAAGCAACGCTGTCTTGACTGGGCTCCTTGACTCTTTCATCAGTGAGAAGACTGACAGCCTGGGTGATGTCACCATTACTGGCCTAAGATCAGGAGGAAAAAAATAAGACATTTCAAAAGAAAAGCATCAGCGTTTAAAAGAAATAAATTAAGTTTCCTGGTTACATAACTCCTAACTACCCTGGTGACATACTGAGTAAGTCAAGGCATACTATTAAGGCTTGTCGTTGTTGTTATGTGCAATTGAGTCACCTGGAACTCATAGCAAGCCTATGCACAGCAGCTCTGAACCCTGGGAACCCTGCTCTATCCTAAGCCAATCTCACTGTCTCGAACACATCTTCCCTCATTACCCCAGTTACCGAGTAAATCCATCTCATCTGGGGACTTTCTCTCTTGTGGTCTCCCTCCACACTTCCAAGCATGATATCCTTCTCCAAGGACTGGTGCCTCCTGGCAACATGCCCAAAGTATGTCAGATGGAGCTTTAAAATGCTTGTTTCCAAGGAGCAGCTTAGTCTCACTCTCTCCAGGACAGACCTTTTTGTTATCTTGGCAGTCCATGGTATGTTCGATACTCTTCTCCAGAACCACAGCTCAAACACATCTATTCTGTCTTCTTTGGTCATTGTCCAGTTCTCTGATGAACAACAAATAATTGCAAAAACCATGGCCTGTATCAGTTGCACCCTAGTCTCTCAACTGACATTGTTGCTCTTCAGCACTCTGGAGAGGTCCCTAACAGCAGATTTTTCTAAAGCCATTTGACTTTTGATTTCCTGACTGCTGGTGCCACTAATGTTGCCAGGTAGAAGTTAGTAAAAAGGTAGTAGTATAGAGGCAAGTAAGTCTAGTCCGCTTGAAACGTACATATATCAAGTACCTACATGCTGGGAAGGGCTTATCATGTAAACAAGATATTGTATAAACAAGAAAGATTTATTTTGCTTGAAATTTTTTCTCGCTGCTTGTGAATTTTATTCTTCTAATTTCACAGCATTTACAAGAAGGGGGATTTATCATGAAAACTGAAATTCAAAAGAAATTAATCTTATAATAAAGGTGTCAAGCAATTTTTATATTCTATAATAGTGACCATATTTCATTTGTTTTAAGTCTTTATATTGAAAAATTCCTAACATATACAACAGTATATGTGCTACAGAATGTATAATGAAGCTGTATATATTCATCATTCAGTTTCAATTATCAAGTCAAGGTCAATGTTACTGTTCTTTACTGCCAATCTTTTTTCCCCAGATAGTTTTAAACCAAATCCAAAGCATCTTTTCATTTCATCAATTAGCGTTTCAGAATATATTTCTTAAAAATATAACCTACAATGGCATTATTACACCTGAAGAGTAGCACTGTTGTTGTTATATGCCATCTAGTCACCTGTGACTCATAGAGACTCTATGTACAACAACCCTAATCCTGCGCCAATCTCACTGTCTCTGACACACCTTCCCCATTAATCACTGAATCAATCTATCTCACAGAGGGTCTTCCTCTCCTGTGCTGTTCCTCCACCCTTTCAAGCACGATGTCCCTCTCTAAGGTCTGGTCTCTCTTTGCAACATGTCCCAAGTATGTCAGACGAAGCTTCAGAGTTCTTGCCTCCAAGGAGCAGCCTGGTTTAACCCTCTCCAGGACAAACCTGTTTGTTCTCCTAGCAGTCCATGGTATATTCAATACTCTTCTCCAGCACCACAACTCAAAGGCATCAATTCTCCTTCTACCATCCTTAGTCATTGTTCAGCTCTCTGATGCATAGCAAGTAATTGCAAAGACCATGGCCTGTATCAGGTGCATCTTAGTCTCCAGATTGACATCATTGCTCTTCAGTACTTTGGAGAAGTCTCTAGCAGACTTTCCCATCGCAATACGTCTTTTAATTTCCTGGCTGCTGGTGCCAAGAGTGTTGATTGTGGAGCCAAGCAAACTAAAGCTGTGAACAATCTCAATCTCTTCATCATCTATCATGATGCTGCCAATCGGCCCAGTGGTGAGAATCTTTGTTTTCTTGATATTGAGCCTCAATCCATATTGAAGGCTGCAGTCCTCAACCTGCAGCAAGTGCTTCAGGCCCTCCTTAGTTTCAGAAAGCAGGGTTGTGTCATCTGCATAATGCAGATTGTTAGTGAATCTTCCTCTAATCCTGATTTTCTCCTCATAGAGCCCAGCCTCCCAGATAATCTGTTCTGCATATAGATTGAAAATGTATGGAGATAGGACACATCCCTGACATACACCCTTTACAAGTTTGAACCATGCAGTGTTCCCTTGCTCTGTTTTGATGACTGTCTTCTGGTCTAAGTATAGGTTTCACGATCAAGTGTTTTTGGGATTTCCATTCTTCTCAGAGTCAGCCACAGTTTGTTGTGATCCACACAGTCTAACACCTTTGCATAATCAATGAAACACAGATAGACATTCCTCTGGTATTCCCTGCTTTCAGCCAAGATTCATCTAACAATATCCCTACTACCATGGCCTCTTCTAAACCCAGCCTGCACTTCTGGCAGTTTCCTGTTGATGTGCTATTACAGTCATTTTTGGATTATCTTCAGCAGAATTGCATGTGATATTAATGATATTGTTCAATAATTTCCATACTCTGTCGCATGACCTTTCTTTGGAATGGGAACAAATATTGATCTCTTCCAGTCCGTTGCTGCCCTAGATGTGCTCACCAAATTGTGCTAAGGAGCATAGCTTTTTAAAAATGCTTAGTTCAAATCTCCCTGACTCAAAGAATTTTATTTTTATTTGTTGATTTGAATCAGGATCCATAAAACACTTGATATATCACCTCAGTCTCTTAAACTATAGGAATTAGCCCATCACAGGTTCCCCTTCTCTACCCACCCTGACCTTCCAATTTAGATGCTGAGGAGACAATCGTAAGGCCTCTGTCCCCTATGTGCACTCTCATTTGGACATAAAAATAACCTGAAATGACTTAAAAATAATAAACACCATCCTAAATCATGTTGGCTAACTGGGCTCTCAAAACCAACCTTCAGAGCTTCATGAAGAAAGGAAGGGTCTTGAACGCCTGTGATTTCTCTCAGTTGATTTAACAGCATTTGACAGCTCTACAGTTGGGAACAAACAAAGCCACAGGCATATATCAGTAAAAAAAATAAACGTGGATACATCTGACGAACAAGTAAAGGCATCTTGCATAAACAGGCCTGAAACTCGTTTTACTTTAAAAACAAAACAAAAAACACAAAACCCCCAACAAGTTCTTCCTAACAAGGCACTGACACATCCTGCAATATCCTATTACAGCTTTAAAAGTTTAGTGAGGGAAAATACTTTTGTTGCTTCTAAGAGATTTATGAATCAATAGCAATACTCCAAATAACCAAAACACTCAAATGCAGTATTCCAAATCGCTCATAGGCACGTAAAGTGCCCCAGGTACTTCTTTCTCTAGGCAGTGTGTAAGTAGGTCAGGGAATTTACATGGATGTGAAGATGTGCTATTTTAAGCATGACTGCACATGCCATTTGTGTGTGTCATTTTTCACTGACAATAACTTTCCAATTATGTAGCTAACAAATGATACCACTGCTGTCATATTTAAAAGGCTAGGCTTGCCTGCTTAAAAGAGAAAAGAATGGCTAAAACTAGAATTTTATGAATTACAAAATAAAACATACAATCCCAGAGGGAATACATTATGGAATGCTTTCTTTTTATGAATCTGAATCATGGAACAACTTATTTTGTTAACCTTCAGATATCATAAGATCAGTTTATAATTCCTTGTCAGTAGTGAAAATTTTTGTAGAATCATTTTATTCTGTTTCCCACAAATATAAAATGCAATACAAACACAAACTCACAAGTAGGATTTGATTTCAATGACTGGGTTGAAAGGCACAAGGATCTTTTACACAAACACTTTGAGTAAAACAGTTTCAAATTAATTGAGTGAAAAGAAAGAAATCTATCTTATATTGGTCTAAGCAATATGCTAAAATTAAGCCATTTTTATATTTAAAGCTTTCTGCCATGCTAGTAGAATGTCCATTAACTATCCTCAACTTAGTCTCAAAGATAGTCTACATTTATTGCCAACTGTAATCAAATCCATGTTCTACGTTTAACAGCTGGGACCCACGCAATACTATGTATCACACTACTAGAAATAACTTGGAAGGAATTGGCATAATGGAAAGATTCCTCTACAGTCTTCAGAAATGCATCAACAGCCTTTCTGTTCCAGTCATAAGCTATAGTCATGGGCTAGAAATGGATCCCTGCTTATCCTGCTGATATCAGCAACCTCTGAGGCGGAGTCTTGTCAAAGGCAATCACTGCTTGCCTCTCTAGTTACTAAATAAAATAGTTATTAAACTAAAAAATTGTTACTAGTTACTAAACTTAAAGGTGTCTTAAACAGAAGTAATGAATGATTCTTAGAAAAGGAAAGCATCTGGAATTTATCCCCAAATTAAGTTGGATTCCATTATATTTTACTACGTAAAAGTATGTGAATCCATAACAAATAGTTGAAATGGCTTAAATATGTTGTTGTGTACCACAGAGTTGGAACCAACCCATTGCTGATCCTCAGGTGGGTTTTCAGAGGCAGTTAATCACACAGGAGGAGACTGCCCATTCTTCTCCTAAGGAGCAGCCGGTAGACTCAAACTACATGTTTTTGGGACTGCAGCACAGTTTCTTACCACTAGCTCACCAGAGCTCCCTCTGAATGAGTCTTAAATACAGTTGACCAAAATAAAAGTCTGTGAATCCACATATTTCAAACATACAAAACTGTCACAACATACTCTACAAGGGTAGATTATGATGCAAGGGAGAAATTAGTACCCAGAAACATGACAGTAACAATGGAACAGAGAAATCACATTACTATTATGTTGTTGTGTACCCAAGAAGTCATTCCAACTCATAGGGACTCTACAGGAGAGAGCAGACTGCCTCATCTTTCTATTGCAGAGTGTCTGGTGGGTTGGAACAACTGACCTCCTGGTTAGCAGTTGAGCACTTAACTATTGTACCATCAGAGCTCTGATTCTCAGTATAGTGATCAAAATTTATGAGTCACAGAAAAAAAAATTCCAGTGAAACATAATATCTAACATGTAGACATCAAGTTTGTAATATAATTTCATACATGACAATGTAACTTTTATTTTTATATCTTGACCTAGAAATTTGCATCTTAATATGCTTCCTCTTTTTTTCCTTTTTGTTTCCCCTTCATATATGAACAAGTTTTTTACTTAGTGTTGTTGTGTACTCTCGAGTTGGAACTGATCCACAGCTGACCTTCCAGCAGATTTTCAGAGGCACTAAATTATACTGGAGGAGACTGCCTATCTTACTCCTGCAAAGCAGCTTAGCTAGTGGATCTGAATTGCAGGAGCAAGGAAATACTGTTATGTGACTGATTCAGGACAGTTTCTGTTTGCACAGTTTACAGCAAGTTGTACTCTTAACCCAAATGTCACTTCTCCAGTAGTTGAAATCCACCAGGGCTCTGAGGCAGAAAGGTGAACAATCTCCTTCCACTGAGATTAACAGCCTCAGAAACCAAATTCAGGATCACCGTGAGTCCGAACTGACAAGACAGCAATGAGTGAGAAAGTGAAGGTTCTCAAATGACCACTATTCTGCTTTATGTTGTTAGGTGCTGGAGAGTCAACTCTGACTCATAGTGATACTATGAACAACATATCTGAACCCTGTCCAATGCTGTGCCATCCTCATCATCTCTGACACACTTGAGCCCAGTTATTGTACCAATTTATCAAATTGAGGGTCTTCTCTTTTGTGGGCCCTGCAACTTTTCTAAGAATGTTGTCCTTTTCCAAAAAATAGCCCCTCATAACAACATGCCTAGAGTATGTAAGATGAAGCTTCACCATCATTCCCTCGAAGAAGCTCTCTGGCTGCACTTTCAGCTGGACAGATCTGTTCTTTTGGCAACCACAGGATATACAAAACTCTTCCCCAATACCACAACTCGAAGATAGCAATTCTTTTGTCAGTGCACAAAAGTGATTAAATTGACACCATTGTTCCTCAGTACTCTGGATAGGTCCCTGACAGCAGACTTTCTCAAGGCAGTACATCTTTTGAGTTCTTTTTTTTTATTTAAAACTAACTTTTTTATTGTATTTTATCTGTGTACACTGTGTTTTACACATTCTTTCATTCACACTGTTTCACACAATCGTTCATATACATTATATCATTAATTATTATTAATCTATGCCTATTATTATCCTATCTTTTCAAGTCCCATTGACTTTTTTCAATTTCTTCACCCATCTCCCCATTTGTCCACTAACCTCTGCTATTCTAGTAATTTCCACACTAGGATAGCAGATGAAACTTTAAACATATTTTGAAAGTTTATACATAGCTTGTTAAGTTATCCTTCAGGGGTTGGGGTTTTTTTTTCACTTTGAAAAAAATATTTATATTGGTTTGCATACAGAATTCATACACATTGTGTATCATTCATGCACACTGTGTTTCACGCATTCCTTCATTCATCCTGTGCTTCCAACTCATATACTTTGTATTTTATAATCACCATCTATCTATGCCCACTATTATCCATCTGTTCAGGTCCCCACTGGATCTTTGCTAATTCTTTCACCATCATTCCCTGCCCAAACTCTCTTATCCTGTTGACTTCCTCCTCTCCTCATTATCTTATCCACTGCTCAATCCCCTTCTCCTTTTGGACTTTTATACACATCTTACTCGTTATCTGTTTTTACAATAAATGGTCTTGACAGTGAGATATAATCCATACTGAAGATTGTAATCTTTGATCTTCTGTAGCAAGCATTTCAAACCCTCCTCACTTTCAGCAAGCAAGGTCGTGTCATCTGCATAATGCCGGCTGCTGCTGAGCCTTCTTCTGATCCTTTTGCCACACACTTCTTCACAAAGTCCAGTTTCACAAACTATTTGCTAAGCATACAGACTGAACAGGTATGGAGAAAGGACTCAACCCTGATGTACATCCTTCTTGATTTTAAATCATGTGCTGCTTCTTTGCTCTGTTCAGACAATAGCTTCTTAGTCTATTTAGAGGTTTCATATGAGCATAATTAGTGTTCTGGGATTCCCCTTCTTCTGAATGTCAGTTTGTTCTGATCTACACAGTCAAATATCTGAGCATAGCCTGTAAAACAAACATTTTTCTGGTATTCTCTGCTTTCAGCCAAGATTAATCTGACATCAGCAATGAGATCCCCAGTATCACAGCCTCTTCTAAAGCCAGCTTGAACTTCCAACTTCCAGCAGTTCTGTATGTACTATTCTAGCTGGTTTTGGATGATCTTTAGTGATATCTTGCTTCCATATGATATTTATTATATTGTGTTGGATCACTTTTCTTGAGAATGGGACCAAATATGGATCTCTTCCAGTCAGTTGGTTAAGTAGCTGTCTTCCAAATTTCCTGACACAGATTGGTAAGCATGTATCTATTAGTTGAATAACATGTCAATTGGTATCTCATCAATTCCTGGTGCCTTACTTTTTACAAAGTCCCTGAAGTTGCAGCTTCAACTTCGTCCTTTGTTACCAATGGCTCTAGATAATTTGCTACTTCCGGAAATAATTCAGTGTCAACAATTTTGGTACAGTGACTCTGTGTATTCCTTCCATTTTTTTTTTAATAATTCCTAGATCATTCAAGATTTTGCCCATAACATATTTCAGTACTGCAACTCAAGGTTTGAATTTATTTTTCATTTTTTTCAGCTTGACAAGTGCCAAGTGAGTTCTTTCCTTTTTATTCTCCAATTCTTTGCACACTCTGGTAATACTACTTTCCTTTGTTGTCTTGAGTTGCCCTTTGAAATCATCTGTTCATTTTTTCTACCTCTACATCTCTTCTCTTTGTTTTGGCTTTTTGATACTCCAGAGCCATTTGTAGTTTCTTCTAATATCAATTTTGGTCTTTCCTTTCTCCTCTATGTATTAACCTCATACTCTCTTTATGGATGATATCCTTGATGTCATCTTCCAACTCATTTGGTCTTCCATCGTTAGTGTTCAATGTTTCAAACCTACTCTTGAGATGATTTTAAA